AGGAGAACCGAAGGAAGTAGCAGTCCAGTTTGTGACATCGCGGATTTTGGACAAAGGGAATGGGAAAAGGCGGAACGAAGAGTCCCTAGTGGCACGTCGACAGGCACAGATGGTATCCCTATCAAGCTGGTGAAGAATTTGGGTCCTAAATCTAAGGCAAAACTAAGGGAGGTAGTGAGTACCATGATAACAAAAGGAAATATTCCAGATGAATGGAGGCTTAGTAGGATGAGTATGATATATAAGGGAAAGGGAGATAATTCTGATATTAGGAATTATCGCCCCATAACCGTGACACCAGTTATTTACAGGTTGGTAATGCAGATTATAAAGAGCAGACTGGAGGAATGGGTAGATTGCGAGGGCATACTGGGCGAATTACAGAACGGGTTTCGAAAACAAAGAAGGTTGGAGGACAATTTATTTTCTCTAACACAGTGTATAGAAATAGCGCAAAAAGAAAACAGACAGCTCTGGCTGGCATTTCTAGATATCAAGGGTGCCTATGACAATGTGAACCAAAGAAACCTGTGGGACATAATGGAGAACTTAAACCTAGATGAAGGACTAACAGCACTATTAAGGAACATTTACAAAGATAACAAGGTGATTATAACATGGGAAGGAAAGGCGACAGGGAAAATAGAGATAAGTCGAGGCCTTAGGCAGGGGTGCCCGTTATCGCCTTTGCTGTTTATGTTGTATCTGAGAGGATTGGAGGATAGACTAGAGAAGAGTGGGCTTGGGTTCAACCTTTCTTACAGTAAGCTAGGCCAAAAAATTCAGCAATCCTTACCGGGATTGATGTATGCGGATGATATTGTACTAATGGCTAACAACAGGACAGAGTTGCAGGAATTAATGAGCATCTGTGGTAGGGAAGGAGAGGAATTAGGTTTAGAATTCAGTAGCGAAAAATCGGCAGTCATGATTTTTAACGAGGATGAAGTTGAGAGGCTGAAGATACAGAATATTACAGTTGAGAGAGCTAGTAAATACAAGTATCTAGGAGTATGGATATGTGATGGTGCAGAATATCTCAGAGACCATGAAAAGTATATAATAGGTAAGGGCAACAGAAATGCAGCTGTAATGAAAAATAGAGCACTTTGGAATTACAACAGGTATGAGGTGGTGAGAGAGATTTGGAAAGGGGTCATGGTGCCTGGCTTGACTTTTGGAAACGCAGTGCTATGCATGAAATCCGAAGTGCATGCGAGACTAGAAATAAAACAGCGCGGAGTAGGTAGACTGGCTTTGGGGGCACATTGCAAAACGCCAAACCAGGGAGTACAAGGAGACATGGGATGGGCATCATTTGAGAGCAGGGAAGCGGTGAGCAAGGTAGAATTTGAGGATAGGTTGAGGCAAATGGACGGGGAGCAATGGGCACGAAAGGTTTTCAGCTATTTATACATGAGGAGTGTAGACACAAAGTGGAGACAGCGCACTAGGAAATTAAGAGGAAAGTTTTTGGGCTATAGCGAAGATACGGAAGAGCAAGTCTCAGTTAAGAAGAAAGTTAAGGCCACAGAAAGAGGTTGGTGGCTAGAGGGAATGCAGACAAAGACGGCTCTGGAAAGCTATAGATTAAACAAAAGAGTTATTGCCAAAGAAAGCATTTATGACAATTCTAGGGGAAGCTCATTGCTGTTTGAGGCAAGAACGGGTGTTCTGCGAACCAGAACATACGGAGTGAAGTACCAGGAAATTGATACAGTGTGCACTGCTTGTGGAGAGGAGGACGAGACGGCTGAGCACTTGATACTCTACTGTAAAGGGCTTCACCCTATGCCTACCGAAGACAACATAGATTTAATAAAGTCATTGGGTTTTAGAGACAGCGAAGGGAGAGTGGATTTCAAGACTGTAGAGGTTACCAAGCAAAGATTAAGTGAATGGTGGCAGAAATCGAGAGAAAACTAGGTATTTTCTTATCCACTGATGGCAAGGGGGTTTCATAGCCTCACTTTCTTTGCACTGCGGAGTGAATATAGATTTCACATTTAAATATTCTAAGCTTAAATGGTAAAACAAAATGGTTAGGTGGCGTAAGCTACCGCCCGATCCAAAGGGCTCAGCCGTATTCATCCATCCATCCATCCATCCTCTCATGCGTTGTCTGCCGCTCCACCTTTTCCATCTCGGCGGCCGCTTCTCGTGGCGATCTGCCAGGCTTTGTCATTATATAGGAGGCTATGCCAGAATGTTCCTGCACAAGGCCAGCAGAAGTGCCCAAGTCCCGCCTTCGCAGAAAGCAGCATAGTTAGGTCAGACAGCTTAAAGAAAAGCAGTTCGTGGCGTCTTAGCATCACGCTCTTGCTCCGCCCTGCGTTTATAAAGTCGGTGGCTGTACCGAGAGCTCTGGGTTCTGCACAGATTAGAGTTTTTTAAAGACGTCACAGCTGCATGCTTTCTGCATGGAAGGAACTGAAATGCTAAACTTGGATTGACCGCGTTGGTAATAGATTCAAAAATACGAAAGAGTTAAACAGTTAAACGAAAGAGGACGGACGTCCTGTCCGTCCTCTTTGTCTAATATTTTCGTATTTTTAAAATGGTAACTCATTACAGCTTTTCCGTAATGGTTAATGAAGCGAGGTTTTGAATTAATTCAAACAGAGTGATTAATATATGAAGGCAATTTGTCACGAACTTTGCTCGCAAACAAACTTGTATTGGTACGATAAACGCTGTTTACGTTGTAGACTTTATTCATTGCAAGTAACAAAATTTTGCTTATCGTTTTCTTTTTGCGATATGCAATGCAATGCACATTTTTCTTTTTGTTAAAAGTTGCGTTCTATCTAGTTTGTCTTAGCGGAATACAAGTTACAAAAACGAATAATTGTAACGTAAGTACGACTCGTTTTGTTCTCGAAGCTGCAACGGCATCAGGTTTAGTCAATGACATTTCCAACTAAAAGCATTTCTATAGTAAGATGTAGCACAAAAAGAGCTTTTATTGAATCATTCGTTGAACGGGTAAACTCCCTTATGTAATTACTAATAACCAAACTCTCAAGATTCTTAAGGTACCTGATAAATAGGTACAGTATTTTAACGAGGAAGTCAAATTACTATGACTTCAAATAATGTTTCTAGATTCCCATTGTATCGCAGATCGATTGTCACAGTTTCTTCCTAAAACATTAGGGACTAGGTCTTTGCCGACTTCTTTTAAAACGATTTTGTTCCTCTGGATGCCAAGTTTTGTCACAATTTGCATTGAAGCCATCGCAGTTTGTGCCTCACAGCTCGAAGATGACGGAAATAACTAGGTACGCGAGGTTTCGAAAGTGCTAGTTCTTACGTTTATGACTGCGATCCTTTCCTCGTGGGGATCGGTCACGTTGAGATTTTGTTCTCCAACCACGACAATATAGTTAGAAGGTGACTTGTAGCCGCTGAAAAAGACAACAAAAACAACAACATTGCAATGCAGTTTTGACGCCCAATTAATTTCTTAGAGCCAGCATGTCGACTTCTTTTGTGACTTAACAGGAAGGCCCCAATCTCGCAATTGCGAAAATAAAATGACTGGTCCAAAAATTCCGCTTTGTGTACAAATAATTAAAAAAAAAGTTGTTTCTAATATTATTTTTAACTGACGTTGAAAATAATAACAGAAAAAGCTTCAGTGTTTGCAGATGCACTTTTCGAACTTAACCATGCAATATAATTTGACGATGGGCTCATCAAAAACGGCCCTTTTGAGAATATCCGTTTTACGGTTCATCTTCGTATAGTTACGGTAAAAGCCGGAATGCCCCGGATTCGAAGGTTTAAACGCCACCAAGCTATAACTATTTTACTACTTTTTGATAATAATTAAAAAAAAAAAAATGCCGGTTTCTCGTTGTGTTTCGAAAAGGAACTGCGGCGACAGCCAAGACTCTGCACATTCGACTGCGCAGAGTTACGTTGCAGTGTTTAAATTTAGCGGACGTACGTCCTTTTAACTTTGGTGGACCGGGTGACCCTTTGACATCACGTAACACTTAGACGTCACGTTACACCAAATTCCGGCTAAATTTAGCGGAAATATTTACCGCTAAATTTAGCGGATAAGTTTTCTCGCTAAACTTAGCCTCAAAAATTATCCCGTCATACTTAACGGAAAAATTGTGACGTGTGGTAAAATTATATCACGCGACATTGCGACGTCACAGCGCCTATAATTTCCCGCTAAAAAAGAAGATACATTTTTGTTTTATATTGAGCGGAGGCATTTTTCGCCTACATTTCCCGGTTCGAAACCTATACACGAAACGTACACGGGATCCGCTACGAAAGTTCGCACCATGGGGAGTTTTCCTAGACCGCGTTTCGCCCTCCGCTAAGCCCTCCGCAATGAAGAAGACGCTCCTGCGCCTGCGCGCCGATGGCCTTGACTGTAGACTTCCGGGCATCGTAGCGGGTTGCGGAGAGCGTTGAGGGACGGCGAACACGGTCTACAAAAACTCCCTAATAACGGCTATCACCGTAAACAAATGCGACTGTTACGTCGCAGTGGTAATTACTGCCGATATGCATAAAGCCGCAGCTATACTCATACATGCACAAAACACGCACACACACACACACGCACGCACACACACACACACACACACACGCGCGCACACACGCACACACACACACTCACACGGTGTTTGCTGGAGGCGTGATGGCAGAAATATATGCGGTCACGTCTCAAGCACACTCAAAGCATGTTTGCTTCCGTAGGGCCAATGAGCCGGATCGCCTTACGGGGAAGAAATGCCCCTAAGACAGTAGGGAGTTTTAGGGAACCGCTTTTGCACATCCGATACGGTTCGATGGTCCCTCCGGTACGAACTGCGCATGTCCGAGTCTACTGCGCATGCGCAGTTTGTACCGGACGGTCCATTGCACCGTATGGGATGTGCAAAAACGGTTCCCTAAAACTCCCTAGAGTCCGCAAACTATCCTCAGTACGTTTGTATTAACAGCGGCTGAACGCAAAGGTGCGGGCGACTCACTCTACGATGCAGTGGGCCGCGGTGTCGACGTATTGACTGTTGATGATGGAACCTCCGCAGATGTGGCCGCGGTCCGTGTTCGGCAGATCGATGAGGTGCAGAGAGATCTGCCAGGGAAACTCGAGCGCTCCGGCGGTCTCCCCACCCACGATGTCGGTGCTCACGTCCGTTCCTCGGACTCCACACGCTTTTTAGGGGAGAAATAGATTCCTCCAAATTACACAAAACAATCCGAGCGCAGTTACGCTGTCGCGTAAAGGCCCACAGAGCGGTGCGTTCCACAGCTGCAAGCGATCGTGTAGCGTTGCGAAGAGCGCTTGTGCAAAGCTTGTACACACAGTTGCGTTGACACGCAGTCGACCGCGGTCAAGCGCCAATAAGAACGCGCTATCGTCTCTAGCGGCTCAACAATAGCGAGCGAAATTCACAGCAACATGGCAAAGCCCGGCGACAGCGTCCAAGCGGTCGATCTTGGGACAATCCCGCTGGTTTCACCGACATTCTGTCCGGCTTGAACCATCAAAGTCTGAAAAACTTGCTCGAGCATTCCCCAGCGCTCCCCAAAACGAAAAGTAGGTTCCGCGAACGGTGAACCGGATAGGCATCGTCGAGTGGCGCGAGCGACCACGTGACCCCCCTGTTCTTTCTCAGCTTCTGATTGGTCGAACGCACCTGCTGATTGGTCGAACGCACGAACGCGGCTTCTGAATGGTCGAATGCTTCGGAAAGTTGAGCGAGTCTCTACAATCTTGATAACTCAAGATAACTCGGTCTAGGCAGGCGATTCTTTGATAAAAATAAATATATGCTGTAGCTCACTCCCTCTGTCGCCCTTTCACTTCCCAAACACGTTCTACCCCTTTACCTTTAGCGTTTTAAGGCTGAAAAACATTGCAATGTAGTCAAATTGCGAAACTACCCTTTTGTCGATTCGAGTGTATATAGGTGTGTTTAAAATACACACACACACACAAAAGGGAACTTTGATTATACCCATAGATAGCTAACATTATTGGGGAAATATAAAAAAAAAAGAATGAAAATTGCCTTTTTCTAATAATACGAGTTAAAAGTATGGATAAATTTAGTTTTTGACGAAATAAAAATAAATAATATAAATTGTCTTGCTAAAACGAATTAAACCAAAATGGTACCAGTCAATATGACATGTGTCATATTTAAGTATAGTATTAGATAAGCGAAATCTATGATTGGGGGGGGGGGGGGGAGCCTAAGATACAAGTCTCCAAATACGCCACCAAAAGTTATGTGTATTTTTTTATTTCTTGCGTGATACACTGTAAATAACTTATTTTTCGCGGGCCCAGTATTTTACGCATTAGGTCAAAGCTGAAGTTTTGGAATAATTCGAGGGTTCTAATTTTCGCGACGCGGTGGGACCTCAACATAGATTCCAATGTGTTTACATTTTACCGGAATTGTTCGCGGGAGCTATTTTTCGCAAATTGTAGGCGATTCGCGAAATTCGCGAAAACTACTAGGTCCTCGCGAAAATTAAGTCGTTTACAGTATGCCAGCCCAGTTTAGTTTAAAGGAAAGAAGTTAGGCCATCTGCCTTACGTTGATTAAACAAATTACTCTGAGTGTTTTAATTTTTTTCTATTTCTAACTCCCGACAGAACTGAGTGCAAAAATCAAGTACCCCAAATGTAGCATTTCATCTTGCTTCACTCCAAAATTGTTGTAGGAAAAAATTCCAATAAAAAAAATAAAAAGTTGTTTAATTTATTTGGGAAGTTCGGCTATAATATATATATATATATATATATATATATATATATATATATATATATATATATATATATATATATATATATGAACAAATATGTGCAAATGAATGAACCGTACTTAATCCAATGAATCAAAGAATCAAAGTTTCCAGGAACCCGCCGAAAGCCAAAAATTGGCGGAGCCAGGATCTGTGGTCTTTCACCACACGCAATCGAAGTCGCAAAAAAAAAAAAAAAAAAATTAAAGAAAAACAATTAGGTTGCACCCCTCAACTTGCTGCCAGAACAAGCGGCCACGTGATCTGGAGCCGTTTATATGCCGTCAGTGTTGATCATAGTCAAGCTGTCGGGTAGGCAATGCACAGGACACGCGCCGACTTCCAGACATTGTTATGGTTCTGCTATCGTCGTTGCAACCGGACACGGGCCACTACCCGAATGCTTCTCGAGCTATCTATTATCACGAGCCCAAATCGAGTGCCCTCGCAATACTCAGGTTCAATCTATGAGCCGCATTCAAAGGTCGTCACAGGAGGATACTGTAATCCCCCAGTTACATCATCAAGTTTCGCGAAGGAGAGATTGAATGACAACGCTCGCTTTTGTCCTCGAAATTACACCGCAACAAAGGAGTTTCTTGGCCAGTGGCGCTGCGTGCGAGCACCATTGAGTCCCACTAGTGCCAGTAACCTCGTATAAAGTGAAAAACATTCCAATTGAATATCGTTGCACGGCCCATTTAGAGCTAAAATATTGTTACAAAGGAAGAAGTGGGGCGAAACGCGCTGCTTCGATCAGTCTTAAAGCTACCACCATAGTCGACCTTCCCTGAGTTCAATAGACCCACCGATTCATCCAGACTTTCACGATACCTACAGTTATAGCACCAAATAAAAACGAAAGTATTTATAGCAGGAAAATACTTTTAACTTACCGGGAGTGGACGAGAGTGATTTCCCGACCAGAATCGACAAAAAGACAAGGTTTGTCAGGGTTAACATGACGCCCGATTTGAGAGACCTAGTTGGGTTTCTGCTTGGTATAAAATATAAGTATAGTTTTTGGTCTCGAAACACGCTGCAGGGGGTTGGGCGAGACACGTTCTAGAGAAACGATAGACACGCGTCCACGAACCTATTGTAGTGAGACGCCTTCTCCGGCTCCTTTAATTGTCGGTGAAGAGATAACTTCCTGTCATGTGCATTTTTTACTTTTTCGAGAGCAGCTTTTCTTTTGTTGTTCTGAAACCTTGGTGAACTCAGTACAGTCTCCATGCAGTAACTCGTGTGATGATTTTGAACGCTTTGATGTCTGCCATAAAAGTGGCATCCGGCGGGGTGCACGGATTCCTGGAAAACAGGTGCTATACTTTTTTTTTTCAGCTTAAGTTCAAACGCAGCGAACCCTACGATGTAATGTAACCAATGAAGCGGTGTCAAAAGCGCAAGTCACGGTGATTTTTTTGTTGTTGTTTCTGATTTGTCCCATCAGATCGTAGCGTCTGCTGCGTCTGGACTTGAGTTGAAAGCGAAGTATACAAGAACTGAGGATACAACACTTGAGGACGTGTAATTTGTTGCAGCGTGTGTCTAGACAAAAAAACACCCTGTAACGCCGAATTAGAGCGCAGCTCTTGAGGAGGAGGAGGGAAGGGTACTGAGAGGAGGGTATACCCCTCCTCCCTCTTCCTTACCTCGTCATCCTGCCTGCTACTCCGCCACGGGGGCCACGTGGCCTCAGGGGGTCACGTGACCTCGGGGGGGGGGGGGGGAATCGCGTAACCTCAGGGGGGGTCACGTGACCTCACGGTTACGCCGACGGCGACGGCGACGCCGCTCAGGCCGGAAACGTGCGCCAAAGAGCTGCGCTCTAAAAATACGGAAAAAGGCCAATGTCGATTCCCAGCATTGTGCCAAACGTTACTGCGGAATGTATTAATTCGTTTCGTGGAAAACAATGACCTGGGAACGTCTGTGCCCTTCCGCTACCGTCTACAGTCATGCAAAAAGATTAAGGGACGGTGTAACGGTTTTTGCACATTTCGTAAGTACTGCTAAAAATTCATTCTTTTTTGTGAAAACCCACTAAACACGCGTTGTTTTGTTTTTTTTTTACACGAAACGGCAGTCGCAAGGAAAATTCGAGAAAAACGAGCAACCTTGACCCCCTCCATTCGCAGGTAGAACGAGCGGCCCCGCAATCTGGTGTCAATTGTATTACGTCAATGTTCGTCATAGCCACGTTCTGGGGTTGGCAAAGCACAGGGCACGTACTGGGTTCCAGACTCCTTAAAGAGAAGCTGAACCAAACATTTCATCGTCCGCAATGAGTGGCGCACGACCTTTCCACGAGTCAGCAGCCGCCGGGGTGTATTTCGAGCTTGGGGGTGACGTTTTGTACGCAGAACAAGCATCTACGCACACATTCATGAACAGAAAGAATAAAACAGTACCTATGTATTGTAAATCGCACTATATTACGTGGCTTTCAATTTGTTTTGATCGTCTGCAGGCACAAGGAGTTACTGATCCGGTGTTACTGCGTAGTTTTTGCCATTTCTCTTGTTCTTCCAGACGACGTTCGTTCGTTTGGCAAGCATATATCCCCCATGCTGGAAAGCTCCGACGCCGGTTTTGCGCCAGCGGTGTTTGACAGTGCACATGAATACATGTACGCATCGGTTTTAGCGCCGTTTTTTATGCCACGAATTTAAAATAAGAACCTCGTAACTGACAAATTATTTCGTTTGTGTGACTATGAAATGTCTCAATCTACCAAGTACGTACGAATTATTCGTGATAATTGCTCTTATAATCGAGCACAGGGAGAAATTGCACTCGCTTTTTCCCACTGAGATGCATTCCCGGAGGTCCATTTCCGACTGGTTGCTTGCTGTCTGCTTAAATTTCCCCGCAGCACACCAGCGCCAGGTGAACCTCTAGCGTACATTAGAATAACTCTATGTTTAACTTTTGGTTGTTTCGAAAGTTCCTGGCACTGCTGCCCACATTGCTTTTTCTGGCTCTCAACATTGCCTTTTCCACATAAAAGGGAGGTTTTGTCATTTAATTAGAACACAACAAAACGAGGAAAATTTAATACAAGCAATTCAATTATTGGTTTTAAGAAAACAGAGGAAAAAACTATTGTAGCTAATACCCAAATCCAAGTTGACTAAAAAAAAAAAAAAAAGAATATCTCATGTTTTTTTGTTTTTTTTTGGAGGTCCTATTCGGACTCAGAATGATGTCTTTCAATGTTTATATTTTAGTGTGAGATAGGGTATGTTATTAAGTAATTAGGCGCCCACCTAAATTTGTATGGTACGCAATCGTTTTTTTACGATGTTTTTCTCAACAACGTTCATGGGTTTAACGCAAGTTCCAAAAGTTGGGAGCATGATAACAGAAAAAAATAAAATCGATATTTTTCACAAAAAAATGATGCTCTTGGACTTCAGAGACTTCTTTACCGAATTAATTTTTTCGTACATATCTTCGACATATATGTCTCACATCACAAGGTCAAAGGCCTCCGCGTCCCCCGGTAACTTGACAAGACGGTGACGCGTTGGCGATGAGCCGCGACACTTGCCCATCGTC